CACCCCACCCACCCCACTCACCCCACTCACCCCACGGGGCGGTGCCACTGACTGAACTTGTCTTTAGGCCATTTCCAAAGGGGGGACATTAACTTGTTCTATGCACAGTAGAATTGTAGATGGGCTGATTCCACAATGTCATGCTCATAACTGTGCCTGATCTACAACAGGGAACTGCTGCTTTTTCTTTCCTAATCCTTACTATCGTCTTTTTTCCTTTACATCTTTTGTATGTTTGTCACACTCTTGCGACCCCTGTTTCCGGGGTGCTTTGATAGTCGAAGCAGACTTTGTGCTGTTGAAGTCAATTGAAAGAGGTGAGTAGAGTAAGCCAGATTTTTGTAAAGACTTCTCTGTTGACATCCACCCTTTGGCACTAAACACTGATTTCTTCTTGACTGTTCTTTTTGAACATGTCGAGTGTATAGCCTTTTGAGATTATATTTCTTAGGAGTCACACTTTATATTATATATAAATATTGAAGCAAATTTGCAGATGACTTTTCAAATTTCCTGGATGCATACTTTCCCTAAATATTTGGAGAGTACCTGAACTTTTAAAAAATGGTTTAAAAAATTGATGCTGAAGGAAAAAAAAAAAATGAAAGGGTGACAGATTTTGAGTCTTTAAATTTCAAAGGACCCACGCACATGTGGAAGTTGTGCTGACAAAATTCAGTGACTTCATGTAATCTGCAAGTGGAGATATTTGGTGAAAATGAACACTCGGGTCGAATTTGTAGATTTCAACTGACGCCATTTTCTTCAAGTTAAACATGTCACGTCTTTTATCATTTTATAAGTTAATATATTGTTTTTGTACGGGTTCAGTCTATAAACTTGAACGTATCTGTGAACACATTTTGTCAGCATGCCTCAGTCCTAGTAACTGAAAATGGAATTGTAAGCTATCAAACATTTCATGAACAGTTTGCCATTTTGTGGTGGAACTTTGTGTTTTAATAATTCCTTCATATGGTTCAACCAAACTCTGAAGGATGTTTTGATTGTGACTGTTTCCTGATGTGAAGTGTGAAGGGTACAACATGACAGGTGGAATGGGTTGTTTTTTTTTACAATGGACCATGATACAGTGGAGTCCACTTATAACGAGTCCGGAAAAAACGAGAAGTCTGTTATAAAGACCCGATTCTAAAACCCCGCTTTGTTCTCTTCTTTACCTTTGTAAATAAAATACTGCTATAGCGCAGTCAGACAAACACGCGAGTCGGTTATAGCGGAATATAGCTGCTGCTGTGCACAGTGCATGGGTCAATTAGACATAAAGTAAAACCTCGCCAGTTGAGAAAGTTGTTGGTGATCTAGCGAAACTAAGAATGGGAGAGCCCATGCGTGCCAACAATGAAGGCCGGAGCGACTAAATGGGGAGGGTGTGGCATGCGCAAACAAGCAGAACGCATCGCGTGATAGGCCAGCGTAAGCCTAGTTTAGATTAACAAGGCCTACCATGCCTCTCACTTCTCTGATGTGGGGATGGAGAGGTCACAGTGCTGTGATGGATGGAGCGAATGTGTGACGTGCGCAAGCAGACAGAATGCACCACATAGTGAGGTGGGGTGGGGGAAAACACAGCGGGCGAGTTAGCCCAGAGCAAAGCCCTTTCTTTCTGATCGCCAACGTCGAGCTGTCAATATCGCTAGATCTAGCGCTAGAGAAAGAAACCTGATTCGATTTTTGATCAAGTAAGATCTAAAAGTCACGTTGAAACAAAATCATCACCAGGGGAGATATCAAAAGGAAATAAACAGAACACCAAACTCATAGATTAGGCCTACTTTACAGTTTCCCTGGAATTTATTACTGGATCCCTTATAGTTATAGCGAGAATCTTGCTATAGCGGACATTTTGCCCCGGTCCCCTCCCTCTCGTTATAACAGGATTCCACTGTAATTTCGTCCAGTTCTTTTGATGGCAGGTTTTTTTCATCCCCCCTTTACCTCTCCAGGATTTTACAGAGACGTATAACAGCGCAGGTGCTCCAGAACTGAAATTCCGATCTTGTTTACCGAATGGTAGCCATAAGTTGTGTGATGTTCACAAAATTGACGGTAAGCGGTTCTCGTCTCATGTGTCTGGGTTTGAAAAATCCCTCTCTTTGCGTGTGGCTGTCTTGTATGGTCTGTGTCCGTGACCTCATGCTTCTATTAGTCTTTTATTCTCAAGGATAGGCTTATCCAGAATTTTTTTTCTCTGTATTCAGGATTAGCAAAAGACAACGAAAAAGGACTATGGACAAAAGTCTGAAAATTTTGTTGTGTTTTTGTGAGAGTTCATTTTCAGAAGCTATGTGTGTATGTATCCTCCCCCC